GATTAATTCAAAAAATTTTTAGTTTATAGTTGAAGAGTATAAATTAGTAAAAGTTTGCAAAAATTATTATAACTCATCTCATTATAGTGAAGTTATTAGAATAAAAAATCTTATTATAGCTTATATTAAATGAATATTATATATCCTTCACTATATTAAGATAAGATTTAATAAATTTATAAATCTTCATTCTTTATTATACTAAAGATTTATTTTGTAAACATCAAATTTACTTTGACATTATGTATATAGGTAAATCTGCATGCTGGGTCTTTCGATCTTTATTATTTTAAGATCTTCACTATGCTAATTTGTAATAATAATTCAATTCAAATAAAATTTCTTTGATATGCTTAATTTCTTTAGCCAAATGTTTAATAATTTACTCTACAATATTAAAAATTTAAGATATTTATTTAGTATAAAAACGGTTATACATTTTAACTTTATAATTTAACAATTTTTACTATCAAGTTTTTTATTTTTATACTCTTTAATTATGATTTATTTTTTAATTATAAAAAATAATTATTTTATCTAAATTATATTTGTTATCATAATTATTGACTTCAAATTCATTAATCTTACTAGCTACTCGTTTGAAGGATAGATCAATTTGAAAATGTTTACATTTTAACCATTCAGATGGTTGTTCAAAAGTTGTACAAATTATTAATATATGATTATCTTCAAAAAATTCTAAAAAAAATATTAACATTGTTGCAATTAATATTTTAATTTTAAAGCTGTTAACTACCAATATAATAGATATTTTTATATCAAATTTACAAATTTAATAATCCAAATTTTAAATCTGAATTTTTAATAAAAAGATTAATAAAAGTATAATAGATTAATAAAAAAAATATTAATCCTATTATATAAATATAATAAAATTTTTTGACTAACCCAAATTTTTATTATATTAATAGTTAACAGTATATTGATATTAATATAGATTATTTAAAGTTACCTAATTGCTTTACATAATTATGAATATTATTAAGATTACATGAATAATTGTAAACAACTTCTAGAATTCCTTGTTTTTGGGGATGAATTTCCTTTTGAATTCTATCCACATAATAATGGAAATGATCAGTATTATTTAAAGAAGCATGTATATTTGCGAGATGTTCAGTTCCAAAGTAAGTTTTAATTAAATTTCCTAAAAATTAATTTTATAAATTAAAATTAATTTTTTAAAACCTTTTTATTAAATAATAATTTACATACCTGTTAAAATTCGAGTCGGAGTGATATTAGTAGTATTATCATCAGCTTGACGAATTAATTCTTGTAAACGTGTTCGTATTGCAAGTGGCACTCGATTTGGTGGTAGAGGTGAATGTGAATGAATGCCTTTAGATAGAAGAATAATATATGGGTATTTGTTTAAATCATATAGTATAAATATATGATATTTAATACTGCAAGTCTTTCGAATTATTGATTCTTACTTAATTATATTTCTTGTATGATGTGGATGTGCTAAATTGTAAAAAAAAATATAAATTATATATAAAAAACTTATATAATTTAATACAAAAATATTTGATACTTACATAATAAGTTTTTTTTGAACTGTTATGTAAAACTGTAAAACATTCATTTACTAGTTTATTGAATTCGCCCTAATTATAATAAATAATTATATAATTAGCATATAATAATTCAATGTAAATGTAATTAAAATGATAATATATTTTAATATATTTTTTTTACACTATATGATCTATTCAAAAGTTTTTGAAGTAAATTGAAATCAATATTTTCTTTGATAAGAATAAAACGATGAAATTTTTCTTAATCTCGCCAATTAGAACAGCCAATAAAATAAGATAAAGACATATTATCATAATGATGTAGATGTTTTAATACTGGTATTCTGGTATATTGTACACTATTTTTTTTTTAAATTGACATTTGGTTTTGTGTGCAGCCAAATATATGCTAATAAGCAAAAATTACGTATTAATTATAATTTATCTATATACATATGTATTTAATTTGCTATTAAAAATATACTAATTTAGAAATAATTTCTAAAAAAGTACAATACATTTATATTTTAAAAATTATTTCTATATTAGATATTTTACTGCTTGAAATAAATAAAGCTTGTTATTAAAAATTTATAAGGCTTACATGAAAGTATTATTTGTTACATTATTAGATGATAGTTTGTTATTTATTTTCAGCCATAAATCAGAATCAGGACTACTGATTCGTGTTGCATTTCTTAAAGTTCTCAACTTGCGAATTTACATAATTTAACTCCTTAACATGTTTTATCCTTTTTTGTTACAATAATATCACCAAGATAACAACAATTAGCTTAACTTTGACTAGACAGCTTGCCCATAGAATACTGATCCTAAAAAATAATATGTTAAATATTTTAACTGCATACTTTATATTGTGTTTACAATAATAATAAATATTTACATCTGTAAATGCTAACTCTGCACTTTTCCATCCATCAATATGATAATCAATTGCAATCTCTTTTTTACATGTTGGTGGATATTCAATTGGAGTCAATAAATGAATAATTTTTTTAGCAGTCAAATGTTTGGTCTGAAATATTTCAGAGCTTTCTGTTTTAGGTAAAGGTCTAGAATTTTCTTGAGAAGAATTCACAGAAAACCTATCTTCTTCATATGCATTGTTGGTATCCTTGAAGGAATTATTTTCTTCAAAAAAATTATCCTCTTTATCGATATTAAAGAAATTATCGAAAAAATTTTCATCATCAAAAAAACTATTTATTAATAGAAGAGATTCCTCATCTAAACTAATATCGTTTGAAGGTATTTGCATCATTTTATTAATAGATAATACTTTGAAATGAATTTATTTATTTGTCTTTTTTTTTTAAAAAAAAAAAAGAAAATAAAATATCATTATGATCACTGCAGAATGACTACATTGGGCTTTAGGCTTTTAAACTATCAGACTAACATTATAAACTCAACTTATTAAAATTCATTAAATTTGGATTTAATATTATAATTTTTAAAGCCTGAAGTTTAGTTTTCTTTAACATCACATTTGCATAAATTTTATATACATTTGCTTAAATTTTATATACATTTGCTTAAATTTTATGTATATTTGCATAAATTTTATCATGAATTTTATATACATTTGCATACTATATATGATATATTACTTTATACTCAGGTTTGACCTCACTAACCATACATACGTGTTTGTTAATTTAATCGTATTATACTTTACTAATTTGCTAAACCATACTCTACTACTATTTGTATTACTTGAAATACAGTATGAAGTTCATATTTGTTTGGTTATTTGTTGGTTTAAGTAAAGAAGAAGTTTAATAGAAAGAATAATAGTAGTATAATAAGAAATAGAAGTATTGTGAATAGTAAAAATAGGATTGATAAGAACTAAGCCAGATAGGATAAAAATAAGAGAAGATATATATGAAGAGTTATGCAGTTTGAAACTGTTAAGTGTGAGAATTTCAGTATATAAATCAGAAACAAGATTGGCAGACATATTAAGATTAGTTGTATTTAAAATACTATTAAAAGAATTAGAGATTAAGTAATAAATTGTTTGGGTTAATGGGCAGATAACCCAATAGAATAAAGAGCTAGTTTGGTTGCATTGATGAAAGAAGAAAGAAAATAAAGAATTATGTTTTATAAAGAGTATAAGAAACAAAAGTTCATCTGTAAGGATTTTAACTCAAAAAGTTTTCAGAATAAATATGAGCAAAATTAAAAATTTTTTGATTATTGTTTATGTAAAGCCATGTAGCTTCTTAGTTAATGTTAGATGCAATAGTAGATCATTGTTAAAAATAATTTTGAAATGTTCAAGATGTTATAATATGGACTTGGCACATAGTTCGAATAGAGTATCAGATAAGAATTTTAATAGAAATTTATTAATAAAAGAAGTATAGTTGAGGTTATAAGAATTATTAGTTAAGAATGTTAGGTAAGGTAATATTTGGTAATTACAAGCAAGTTGATTAGCAAGTAAGTTGAATTTTATAAGACTTAATAAAATTGATAAGTATTTATCAGATAGAGAAATATAGAGTATAAATATAAAAAAGAGTAGATGCTGATTGGCAGATGTTATAATATTTGGAGATTACTAATTGTAAGATAGTGAATATGTGAACAGAGCAATATCTAGGAGCAATAATAATTGCTAAAAGAATAGCAAGAATTTCAGCTTTGAAGAAGCATAGCCACAGTTTAACTTGTGCTTGAAATAAGTTAATAGTTATAGAATTATTTATTTGAACCCAACCTATGCCCATAGAGCATTGTGAGATATTAAATCAATAACAAAACCATTAGTATAAAATGAAATAGATGATAGATTGTAATTTAAGTTAGCAATAATCTGAAGGTTATTAACAAGTTAATATGTTTCAAAAATAGAAGATAGTTGTTGTAAATTAATTATGAGTAAAGAAGAAGATAGAATATATAAGGGATGTCAAAAAGCAACAGAATATATAATATTAAGAAAGTTTGCATAGAGGTTAAGAGTTTTGTTAAAATTGATGTAGCAAAGTAACTTAGTAGCCAAGTTAGTAAGAATAAAAATAATATATTTGTTAGCAATTGTATTTGAATTAAGGTAATATTCAGTACATAATATAGTAGTAGAAAGAGGAGTAGAATAGAGATTAGAAAACTGAGACTGGAATAAGCAGTTCCAGTAGTTGATAAGGATAAGACCAGTAGGTGTATTATGCCTTCTGGCCTTGCCAATAATTATTTGGTTATCAAGAACAGTGAGTAGCAAGGGTTTAGTATTAGAGTTAAAGTGGCCAATAGAATAGCAGAAGTAGTTTATAAAAGGTAGATTATAATAATCATATAGAGTACATTAATAAGAGTAACTGATAGTAATATCCTCAAGAGTAGTAAACCATTGTGGTATAACACCTTTTGGAATTTTGTTAAGTCTGGATAAAATGTGTTGCCAATGCAATAGACATGAGTTGTTATGAATAGTGAGTTAATCCAGAAAAAGAAGTTTATAATGTCTAAGTTGTTTTTTGAAAATGGAGTATTTTGGATAAAATGAAAGAAAAGATTTAAGAAATATAGTTCCATTATTTAGAGTATATGAAATGTTGTGAATTGGGTTAGTTGAAAAAGTCCAGCCTATATGTTTAATAAGTAGTATTATTTTGAAGTTTTTAGTTAATTGATTAGGTCTATCAATGATTACTTAGAGTGAAGAAAAATATTAGTAAAAAACCAGAAATTGTTTCAGAGTTGTTAAATTTGTATACAAGTAGATGTGCCTAGTAGGTCAGAATTGTTAAGTTACTTGAAAAGATTGGGAATGTGATATTGTAGTTGAATATCTAAGATATATTTAATATAGTAAATTTGAGAATATAATAGGATACTAGATGGTATTATATAGAAAGTTTAGCTTTGAGCTTAACAAGACCAATGTGTTAAGTAAAAATTATGTTGCAAGTAGATTGGTTAATAACAATATTGTATAAGCAGTATTTAATATTAAGAATAATAACTATATTGATAATATAATGAGTATGTGAATCAATTATATATTTTATTTTTGCAATTTGGATAAGTTGGAAAAATTTAGAGATAATTATTTTATTTGTTTAGATTGACTATTATCTAAAGTAAACCTGTAGGGTGTGGTGACCTAGTGAAGTGGTTATGTTGTCAACCCCCAAGTGGCAAGTCCAGAGTTCAAATCTCAGTATCAACAGAAAATTTGAAAATTCTTTCTGTGTTACAGTTAACTGTCTCTCGCAATTGGTTAGGATAAGATACCTGTAATTTATGTCGCACAGCATAACTGGCAGGTCACATGACATTGTTCTTTGGGACAAGGTTGTAGTTACACAAAGAAATGCAAACCAGTACTAGGCAGTGCAAGCTTACAATAAGCCCTTGTGGCCATGTAAATCATAGGAACCAATAGAAAAAAAATAGAAGCCCACTTGAAAGACCTAAGTAGAGAGGTAATCTGAGCTTTCAACAGTGTTACTGTAAAGACTAGACTTATGAAACGGAGCTAGAACTTGTGAAACTAGGCAAATATGCTAGTCTTTGAGGAGGGACCAAATGAATCAACCAGGCTGCTGGAATTTCCAGGTTCTGGAACAAAAGAGTACATGTCAGCAAACAGTAAACCAGAGATGTATAGTTTCAACCTACCTTTCCAAGCTATTTGGAATGGCAGCTTGGTAGAACTTGAATAGAATACCAAAGTAGTAAGGATATGTTGTGAAGTAAGTACTGGGGTTGGGGTGAACTCTACAAGAGCATAATGGTTTAATAGTATGCCCTGACTGCCAGTATTGGTCTTAGCTATAATGATACCAAGTTAGTTATAAAAATAGGATATAGAAGATTTTGGAAGGTTTAGTACAAGGTCAAAGGTTCCAAAGAACTGCTTTAAAGACTTAGTGGCCATAGCATATT